GGTATTCTGTTAGTATAGCAGTAGTAGGGCCTATTTATGCTTATGTTATTTGTCTCCAAGGGTCCACAATAACTCATGAAAAATACATGTAATTTTTGTATTTTGCTACGACTTTACTATTTATCCAATCTGAGTTGTGTTTTTCTGTAAGACTATCTTTTGCTAAGCCTGACGGATATAACTTTTATGGTCTTTTTGAGTAGTTAATGATCAACCATATTCTGGTCAGCGCTTAGAAATTTAAAATATTTAATCACTAATCTATGATAAGAAAAAATAATATCATCTTTTATTTTTCAGCTTACAGTCTCTCTTTTTTCCATTCCAAAGTATAGAAAAAGGCGGCTGCTTTTTTTTGTTCTTAAGCACCCAGCTACACAATGGGCTATTTGTGCTGTGCTCTCCATGAGTATCGAAACCCCATTTTTAGCATTAAACGTCCAGAAACTAACTGCTGTATCAGTGGGGGGGGGGGAATAAAAATGTCTGAGGACTAAAAAATTATTATTTGAATATATATATATATATTATTTTTAATATTTTTAAGTTATTGAACATAATTAACGGTATATGACTTTTAATTAATAACCACGTAAATGAATATCATAATTGGAAAATATGACACAGGGGGTTGAGTAAGTTATACTAAAATATTTGAATATGCAAATCAAAAAGTATCGTGATAATCACAGCCGATATACAGTCGCGGTAGGACGGCATGTATTCGAACTCACTTTGACATTGTTTGATGTTACGTACGAAGTGTAATGTTCGTTTGTAGTTAAGCGCAATGCTACACAATGGGCTATCTGTGCTTTGCCCACCACGGGTATCGAAACCCGGTTTCTAGTGTTTTAAGTCCGCAGACATAAAGCTGTGCCACTGGGGGCAAGTGTAATGCCGCCAAAAAAATTTTCCCACGTGTAAACGGTATGTAACAGTCCAACGTAAACTATTCATACATTCAGGTTGTAAATATGCTTTCAGATTAGGGATTTATAATTTCCAAGACGGGAATATCTCTTGTACTTAATGACATTGGGAAAACTAAGGAATATGGATCAAGTTGGGGAACGAGGACCATCCCGAAGGAAACCTGCAACAAGTATCACCACCACTGTGGCAAACAAAGTACAGCATTTTGTAACAGGTAAGAATCCCTAGTGACAAAACCCGTCAATGTGTTCCAGGCAACAGTACGCAGCATAATTAAGAAAAACCTCCATCTGGAAAAGGGACACAAGTCACAGGTATACAAGCTGCTTCCACGACTTATTCGCTCTACCGTCGCATAGCTCAAGCGCTGGAGAATGAAGCTGATATCCCTGCTATTCCATACAAAAACATGCCGGTTAAAACGGTAGATGCAGTGCTTGTTGATATCTGTTCGATCTCACTGTTAAAATGGGAAACTGAGAAACCTTTGTCCTTATACATTGGCTGGACGATGGAAAGCACACAGGGATTAATGGTGTACTTTTGACATTATATTGATTTGCAATGGAAACTATGTTGCAAGGTTATTGTTATGATGCACGGCCGTCAGACTGGATGTGGTAACATAGGCTGTAGCGACTTTGAGAAGCTCCAAAATAGTTTTCATATAAGTACTCAACCTCTATATATGTATTTCATATTAATCAAAAATTAGTTAGAAATGTTATTATTTTAGCAGGCCCATGCTAAAAACTAATTCATCCTAACAAGTTTTCAACACGCTTGTTTTAATTTTTTTCATTAACATATCATATCTGATAACTTTGTAAATATAACACACCTTAGCGCTTTGAGGGTAAAATAGGTAACAATGCATAAAAGTGACATCTGATCTAAACCAAACATGCTGACTGACTTTTGTGTGCGATTATCTCAGACGTGTAGCGTAGGAGATGTGAAAGTGTGATCTATGTATGGTTATCTCAGGTGTGTAATGTACGATATGTGAATGTGTGTTCTGTGTATGATTGATCTAATTGTGTAGGAAATGTGTATAAACATATTATATTAAAATGTAATTATTTCAAATGTGTACTGTAGAAGATATGAAATTGGGTCCCATGTGTGAAAATTTTAGATGTGTAGTATAGAAAGTACGAAATCCTGCTCATTGTATGATTATCTTACATGTATAGTGTAGGAGACGTGTATTCTATGTACAGTTAACTCAGCTTGTTTTATATAGTGTTATTTTAAACAGGGAGTGTAGGATACGTTTACATGAGTTTTTATACGATAAAATTAGATCAATAGTGTAGGTTTGTTTCTTTTGAAGGTAAGCACAAAGCTACTCAATGGGCTATCTGTGCTCTGCCCACAACGGGTATCGAAATCCGATTTCTAGTATTATAAGTCCGCAGACATACCGCTGTACCACTAGGGGCAGTAATGTAGCAAAGATGACTGTACAGTTGTAATTTATCATACGTGAATAGTTTAAAATGTTCCAGTGTCTATTACATGGATGTATTGAGAAGCCTGTGGTGACGTATATTATTCATTACATAAAGTGTTTTATGTCGTCTATTGCTAGAAAATGTTGGGATTAGAGATGTAGGTGTTCTGTAGTAAAAACTACCTGGAAATCATGTTTAGCACCTTGACTAGTAAAAAAAAATTAAAACAGCTAGTGCATGCAATGATTGCCCGTATTGAGGCTTAATAAGGGCTCTAAATTTAAGTTTAGCCAATTTTATATATAATAAAGACATGGTTTTGATCTTGAAAGGGAGTCAGTAGCTTGAAAAGAGTTTTCCCCAAGGGACTGTATAAAAATTACTACACGGCTACTCTAGTATGTGTTTATTTGGTTTGGAGTATTTTTGTCATGACCTTTCCAACTCAAATCAGCTCTAAGGGATTAAACCTTTGAAATTTTTGTAAGAGTATTCCATGTACGATGATTTTGAACACACAGTTTAAATCTCCGAACGTGTTCTATGTATGTTCATCCGAAAGTTGTAGCATGGGAAACTATAACGTGTGCTCCAAGTGCGATAATGTGGAGTGTATAAAGAAGGTATACGGTCATTTCAAACGGATGATGTACAATATGTGACTGTCTTACTTTCACACAATAACTAGCTGTCTTCTTCTCAAAGATGAATTTAAATCATTTCAATGACGCGAACTTTTACATCTATGTTGGAAATAGGATATTATTAAGTTGGATCCAGCATTATAAGGAGTGGATTATAATTCAGTCCCAGAAGGTTCAAACAAAGTACCTTAGAAGACTTACGGAAATCGGATAACTTCCTTTCTAGTTGCCACGCAAATCGTCGCTTAAAGCATCAACATTGGTGTATTTCTGATATTCCCACACCACCCACTTATAAAATAAAGATACACAGGTTAACATAGACAACAGCGATGAAAAATCTAGTGGTCGTTCTGGACTTATGTTTTATTACCTGACTTTAACATCATAGAGCGCAGAGTACTACTAACTTACGTTGTAAGCGACTTTTTTTATATATATAATATCGTATGCGATACTGAATTGTTAGGGTTTACCAAAACAAATTTTTTTTTTGCAAATGTGTAAAATAAACTGATGATTTAGTCGTTAATTTCGTCCTCACTTTCCCGTATTTTCTTCATTGCCTTAAGAACTGCAGATAGAACAGTATAACAGTGGTAATGTGCTATACAATGTGTGTAAGAAGAGGAGGCACAATAAGGGCCTTTGTGATTTCATTCCTTACTATAAATGGTGATCGAAGTGAGAATATGTGAGTTCGTATTGGTCTTTACGAGTTTATAACGATAAAGGAGTAGGAACCCCTCAACCAACAAGTGCGTGTAAGCCTGACATAAATATCGACCTTAATCTTAATGAACTCTCGTGCTTTAGCTAAGTGTATTCAATAAATTGAAGAGTTATTTCACCAAGTTTAGTAAACTATTACAAATAGATTGAAAAGTGTAAGTCAGCCTTTAAACATTAGTCTAAGAGATGCATGAGTCATGTTAATGATAACTTTAGGCATTCTATGCTAGATTGACAGACTGATTCACTGTTAAGTGTTAATTTACCTTTCGCATGATAGTCTCAAGATCTTTTGGATATTTCTGTGAAACACTTGTCCACAAAACTTCGCAAATATATGTATACACGCATAAACAAACGCGGAAACACATAAGGACAGACACGCAGACGTAACGTACAAACATACGCACAGAGAAACCGAAAGGCACAAATACAAATATACGTACATACACACAGAAAAACACAAAGGCACAAATACAAATACACATACATACACAAAGAAACACAATTACACATAGATAGGGAGTTCTCATGTCGTTAGTGTGTGGTAATTAGGGACATTGATATTTAACAGAAAAGCATCGATCATCCACAAAACACAGGTTCCGGAAATGTTATGCAGAGTTAAAATAAACTTGAACATAAAATCAAATATATCCACATAAGTGTACAAATGAAAAAGAAAAAAAACAAGTAATAAATGTGTCTTTATTTAACTGTTCGGCTTCCAACTTCTACCTTCTAGCTGCTGAAACATCCGCACAGGACAAGCACAGAGTAATCGTAATTCACATATTATTTAAAAACTCCACCTTTATGTCAGATCATAGTTCTAGAGTGGTACACCACAATACTTATATTACCTATGTCAACGATAATTTCCAATAAATGTATTCAAATAAGACAAACACAAACTCATACTACTTTGTATAAGTCCCTGTACCACCTCTTGGAATAACTATAGCCCCACTCCAAGAGGGTATGATATAGAAACAGGATCAAGCAAGTAAAAGTCTATGGAATATGTGTTTTGTTATGAAGTCTTTCTCTGAGGTAGAGAATTAACGTAAGCTTACAAGGATGCCACTAACTACATACAGAAAGTTTACCTGAATATACCTGAATAAAAAATATATCATCACAGGTGTTACCAGGAAATTTAGTGTTTCTTTATGTGGTTTGTACATTTCTTCTATGTAGGTTTGAAATTGTTATTTATTGGTATCTGTAGGTTACCATGTCGGATCGGTCAGCGGCTGAAAGGGCAGTTAAAGATGCCAATCCTGTCATCGATGGGAGGAAAGCTAATGTTAATCTAGCATACCTCGGGGCCAAACCAAAGGGTAATGCAGTAAATGGTAACGTATACATTACGCCAGTGAATATATTACCTGTGTAAGTCTTAACAAGTTTCCTATAACATACTTATGAAATCACAGACACACATAAAGAAACACCTACACATATATATATACACACACACATACACACACACACATATATATACAGAGAGAGCGAGAGAAAAACAGTGTTATTCAAAAGTTTGAGCATTACAATGAAAGCTAAAGTTACATTTACTGTTGTCACAGTTGATCTTTAAAGACAACATATCTGTATCCAAGACAGCTCTTTAATCAGTTGAGTATTTAAAGAATAATACAAATGTTATTTTTATGCATGAAAAACGTCTTAAATTCAGATTTATTTACTTTGAATAATCAAAGTATTACCACCATATATCTTGATGAATTGGAAAACAGAAAATCTTTACAAAGTCATCAATCTGTACCACGAGGTGTGGAGACAAATTTCATCATATATTAAGAAGAGGAGTGGACGTCTTACAAAGGTCCAAGAGACGCTAATTACTATCATACATATCGTTTTCCGACTAGAAAAATAATATGATTGTTATAATTAAGTCAAAGAAATCTGTAGCCTTAATATGAAATGTACTAGTTTTGTAAAGGGGTCTTTTTTCTTCCGTGATTGAGGCCTATGGATATACAACAAATTACTTAGACTTAGACATAAAACTAAGTATTAATTTTGTTGAAATGGTTAGTTTTGATAAACATCGAAAATTTTCTTTCCAAGGTTATGGACTTTCTTCGCCAAATAATTACGTGCCTTCATTTTTATACAAAAATTTTAAAGCTTATTGGTTATTTAGGTTTTGCAGAACTTGCAACAAACTGAAATATTTTCTTTCTAATGTAGATCTTTATTTATAATAATTAATTAAGCTTAATAATTTTGGACAGTATGATTTACTTAGTTTCGTAAATGTCTAATAGTAAATATAAAACGGTGTACAAATTTGAAAATAATAATATTCGGGAAGCTTTACACAAAACTGTCAAAATATGTTACAGTAATGAACATCATAAACACGTTTAAAGAGAAATTACAAATTTGACATTAAATCCAGCATCTAGGACTTTAGTAAGAGTACAAAACAACAAGTCAGTACATCTGCTGTGTGCACACTGTCGGAATTTAACGACGAGCTACGACCCATAAGCCAAGCATTACAGCTGTTAAAGCAAGACGTTGGCTCTCATGGCACCTCAAGTATCAACGAAAGACCGTCACGTGGAGCGACAAATCCCGCTACTCTTTACTTGCTTCGAATGGACATGTGTGAGTTTGACGGAAACTTAGAGAATGCTTTAGATATTATTGTGTTATCCCAGCTGTGGAGAACGGTGAGGATAGTGTGGGACTGTTTTAACTGATTTGGACTTGGTTCACTGGCAATAGATAAGAGGATTATGGATGCCTTGTCGTATTGTAACATCCTAGATAATGCTCCCCTGCCTGCATGGATAGAATTTTATGTGAAAAAGCAATACCTCTTTCAACATGAAAATGCATTATGTCATTCCATACCACACACCGCGTCTAAAACACATTAACATTGGCCAGCCAAGAGCTTCTGTCTGAACCAATTTGAACTGCCCTGGAACGTCTAAGAATAATGAACGACCGTGAAACTTCTCTAACTTAACACTGCTTTGCAAGAAGTGTAACGTCAATCATATCAGATTTGTACCAACAATAAGTGACCAGTATTGGTAACAGATAGAAGGCGGTGATTAACACCAAAGGTTGAGCCTAGTAGTGAAATACAACATTAACTTCTGGGCGTCTTTTATTATTATGTTAGAACATTTATCTTCTAAAACGCAATAAAAGCATATTTTCTCATATACTCTACGTTCTAGTTTCTAGTATTTTCTTACGAGGAGCATAGACATGATAGAGATAAAAATATACCTTAAATGCATTCAAATATAAGTAAAAAAAGAAAGTCTTCAATGGTCTGTTCCATACCACAGTTTTAATACAAAAAAATTAAAGAACGATTAATTGAGATGTCGTGATATAAATTCTTTCAAATAATCTAACACCTTAAAGGACAACTTTGGGATTTGGAATTCAGTAAAATTATCTCGAGTACTGTATGTATCCTGATCATTTATGAAATCAAAATATAATTCAGTTACATATAAACTATCACGAATTCATTAGTTAATATTTAATAAAAAAAGTTAATTTATATATATATTTATCATCAAGGCTTTTTTTTATATTTTCAGTTTAAAATGTAAGATTGTTGTAATGTTGTTTGATTGTTGTTAAGCGCAAAGCCACAAAATGCGCTGTGTCTCTTCTGTTTTTAGCTACTGGGGGGGGGGGCTATAGAGTTGTTGCTGTTTTCTTAGTGCAAAGCTACACAATGGGCTATATGCACTCCATTCTGTTCACTGCGGGGGAATCGAACCTCTGATTTTAGCCTTGTGAGTCCGTAAACTTACCGCTAGACTTTTGTAGTGTTTGTATTGTGATAGATCATCTGGGATATTGGTACTTTCAACAACTATGCGCAGGTGAACTCAACGCCTAAGGTTCAGATAAAGCTGTCCATACTTTTGAACTACAGACGACAGACCAGAGGGAAGGCATCCAGTAAGCAGCACTCATCGCCACAAAGGCTTTTGTCAGGTTTTGAACCAATAGCAAGATTGACTGTTACTCTTATAATCCACCCACACTTAAACTTTTAGAGCGTGTTTAACGGAATAAAGACGGGAACCTTGGAACGTTCTGATTCTCAGATCAGCACTCTCACCACTAGGCCATTCCATGCCCTCTGATCCATGCCAGCCACTCTGATTCATTCCAGGCCCTCTGGGATAGGAAGATTGTGTTTCGGCGATGAAGTTTTTCTTGAATTTAAAAATGTTATAAATCTCATGTTTCCAATATAAGTTGACACACACACATTGAACAACTTGTTTCGTACACAATGTTCTTGGAGTTACAGTGGTCACTTGGCCCGCAATTTTTGACAAAACATTTGCATTTCTTAAAAGAATAAACTTTTTGATATGATGAACTCACTATAGTTTCTTATTTAAAGATTTTCAAGAATGACGAGTATTCAATCCGGTATGGTTAATTATAAATTTTTTTGATGATTTTATTATTATTATTATTAAACATTTCAGCTTTCATACCGTGTGGGAAAATGGATTGTGATCGAAATGATTTGATTACTGTATAACCGTAATATGCTATGAAACATTTATAAGTTGCTGAAAATGTGTTCTTATCAAGGTGAATAGATAGGTGTGCAGTAATGGAAGTAATAAATAAATTTAGTATTCCGAAATTTTTTTAATCTCGAAGTCTAATTTCAAGGGAGATCCAGATCAATCTACACTTTGATCAACGTGTGTTATTGGGTTATACTAGTTACTCATCAGTAACCCTGAACACAAGTTAACCAAAGAGAGATAAGCTGGACCTATATTATAGTGAAAACGTATCAAACATATTGTTGGTGTGAACGTGGTTTATAGTCACTATGAGAAAAACCTATACACTGGATAGAAGAAGTGAAATTCATCATTTTTGGAATTTTGGTGGTCTTGGTCAGTTAAATAGCCGCACAATAGCAGATATAATAAATAAACTTAATACCATTATATTTGTAACATAGATATTACTGGTTTAGAACTTTCAGTTTGTTTATTTGGAACTATGTTCTTAGAATGAGCGATTTATACGAAGTTATTTGGTACTGTGGATAACACAATCTAAACAGTGACCAAACACATGTAATCCAATATTTACAACCACGTTACTGAGAGATCACAAGTCAAGGTTTCGGCGGAAAATGTGGTCATTTAGACAACAGATGGCCAATTGGCTGTTATTTTATATGGTCCTTGCTTTTTTGTTTTTCAAATCACCTGTTATTTTGGCCGACCGAAAACAGAAAATGAAACCGTGACCAAACAAACTAGTCCCGTATGATAACTGAGGGTCTATACAACTTACATATTTTTTGGAAGCAAATATTCTGAACGTACTTTACCCGGCTGTAGAATTTCGACTCCCAAACTACAGTCTAGGTCAGTGGTTCCCAACCTGGGGTCAGCGAAGGTAATACTGGGGGTTCGTAAGCTATATTCTTTAATTAAATAATGCACGGAAAGACACAGAACAATAACAACGTAAAAATCTGAAACTGTTCTATAACTGTCACAATTTTTCTGGCTCTCTAAGTATGTGAGAAAAGCTGTTAAAAATTCAGCTAAGCTCCTCGTGGGAAAAAATGTGTATCAATAAAGCAACATTAACCAGCTCATTAAACAAGTAATATTTTAATACTGCTGTTCTTTTAATTGCACACTCTGTTATATATGTCTTTTATTTGACAGTGAAAAATGAGAAAACAAGTTAATTATTAGTTAATAAAACAGTTTGTTGGGTACAAGGAATCTTTCAAAAACATGGGGTCTGTGGGGAAAAAATAAAATAAAAGGAGTCCTTGGTGGTGAAAAGGTAGGGATCCATAGGTCTAGGTAATAAACTGGCCCACGAGCAGAAAGAAGTTGGCCATCCCTGACTCTGGACCAAGTTTAAGAGGCAATGCTGCTGTGGTCTCTAACCTTTTGTGTGTAAGAGTTCTGTACTTCTGATGAATATTAACAATATTCCACGTAAAAAACAAAAACAAAGTTTATGTTATCCCTCTCCGTTCCCACTGGCCATACCAAGTTTTTGTTCTTCCTCTCCGTTCACACTGGCCATACAAAGTTTTTGTTCTTCCTCTCCGTTCACACTGGCCATACAAAGTTTTTGCTCTTCCTCTCCGTTTACACTGGCCATACAATGGTTTTGTTCTTCCTCTCCGTTCACACTGGCCATCAATGTTTTTGTTCTTCCTCTCAGTTCACACTGGGCATACAATGTTTTTGTTCTTCCTCTCCGTTCACACTGGCCATACAAAGTTTTTGTTCTTCCTCTCCGTTCACACTGGCCATGCATTGTTTTTGTTCTTCCT